AAAAAAAATTAAGATTCATTATAATTAAACTTTATTCAAAATATTTTAACTTAATTTTTTTTCAAAAATTAATACTATAATTTTGAAAACAAATGAGTGTAATTATCTTAATCACTAATAACCAAATACATCTAAAAATCTCCAAATTTTAATTTTAATTTTTTTTCCCATTCAAAACTCTCCCCCTTCTCCTTCAATCTCCCCCATTCCCATCCTCCCACCCCCCCACCACCACCGACGGCCATGAACGACCTCTTCGCCTGCAACTCCTTCAAGAAATACAACGACTTGAGGCTGCAGATCCACATAGATGACAATGACGCAGGAATCGCCGGCGGCGGGGTCGGCGGCCACGCCAATAATCTGGAGAAATTCTTCCAAGACATAGAGATCATGAAAGAAGAAATCAAATCCCTCGAACAACTCTACCGCCGCCTGCAAGATCTGAACGAAGAGACCAAATCCGCTCATAACGCCAAAACGATGAAATCTCTCCGCGCTCGAATGGACGCCGACACCGATCAAGTTCTCCGGCGAGCTAAATCCGTGAAACAGAAGCTCGAATCTCTCGATCGGGCTAATAAGGCTAATCGAAGCATTCATGGCTGCGAGCAGGGATCTTCTGTAGATCGAACCAGAACTTCCGTGGTAGCTGGGTTGGGGAAAAGGCTCAAGGATTTAATGGATGATTTCCAGTCTCTGCGAGCTCGCATGGCCGACGACTACAGGGAAATGGTGGGGAGAAGGTATTATACTGTTACCGGCGAGCAGGCGGATGAAGAAACCATTGAGATTCTGATATCGAGTGGTAAAGGAGAGAGCTTTTTCCAGAAGGCGATTCAGGAACAGGGGAAAGGTGAGATCTTGGACGCCATTAGCGAGATTCAGGAAAGGCATGATGCTGTGAAGGAGATAGAGAAGAGTTTGTTGGACCTGCATCAGGTGTTCTTGGACATGGCCGTCGTCGTCGAAGCTCAGGGGCAGCAAATTAACGACATTGAAAGCCATGTCGCACGTGCGAGCTCTTTTGTTAGGAGTGGAGTGGCTGAGCTCGAGCAGACTAAAGGTTATCAGAAGAGATCGAGAAAATGGTATTGTATGGCCTTCTTGCTTGGTACTGTGCTGGTAGTTCTTCTTCTTCTCCCTTTTATTACCGCTATCGTCAGATCTATGTGAGATGAGGAACATGGACAGGTTGGGTTTTATTTTGGAAGAGTTGCATACATACCACTTAATTCCTATGTATTTACACCATTTACATATTGGTGAGACCTAAAATTTCAATTTTTTACATATATACCACCTTACCTATGCATGAAAAGTGGCTATTTTTGATGTGATGTAAATGATTTGGGGTATAAATGTAAAAAGTGAAGTTTAAGATTGTAGGGGGAATCTGTTTGTGTTGTAGGGTTATGTTGTTCTTCTGCAGAGATGATAAACATAGCACTCAATTCTCATGGATTTATGTATCCCACACCTAAACTTTCATATTTACACACAGACTCAATTTTTTTTTGTATCACATCAAATATAGCACTAATTATCACTTTTTAATGGGTAAATCTACATTTTCATGCAGAGGTCTATGCTTGTAAATCCGGAAGTTCAGGAAGGAGATGCGTAAATCCGTAAGAATTAGGTGCTATGTATGTAAATTTTCCATTAATCAAAATATGAAATGAGTTAGAAAAGAGTGATATTTTCATAGAAAAACATGGTATTTGACTAACATCAATAAAATGATGTTTGGCTAGTGTGAACTCATTCACAGAATGATATAACTTCAATCAACATTAGTTATAATATAGTGGTGATACTATGGTTTCAAGTTTTATGATTTATTACAAATAATAATGCTGTATGCTTTGATATACTTTCATCATCAATCTATGAAATGCATAACAAATGTAGCTTTGTTAGCAATTCTTTCTTCACTCGCTCCTTAATCGATTGTTTTCTTTTGTACAACATTATTTCGGCTTGGTTGCGAAGCGGGATTAAATTGTCATTGAAGGAAGGATCAATTTATGTTTGAGGCTAAGATGGTGTACATTGGTTACCAGATAGGACTAACAATCTTATAAAATATTTAATATCTAATATAAATGACAATAATAATATCATTGATAATTTATCCAAGTTTAAAATGCATATATATTAAAATTTATTAGTCAAGCCTACACAACAAATGTTACAATACAATTAAGTTTAGTACCACAAATAAGTTAGCTC